AGAGCAAGCATCTTTCCTGAAGATATTTTTCGCTGCCGTAATACTTTTCAGAGCAGCATATGTTTCTCAAGCAAAGGTTCAAATAAATCTAAGCGCTGCTTTCAAATTAGAGTCGATAAATGTTATTATTTTTAAATCGACAGCATTCAACTCGTCAGGAGATTAACGGTAGGAAGATTCGGAAGTCGCCCTTCCTGGTCATCCCATATCAACGAATAGCACTTTTTATTATCAAATAAGGGGTAAGAACTGCCCTTAAATTCTAATGATCATGGTGGTGTTCTGTATAAGTAAGTCGTGCCAGAACATGAGGGTGCCGAGATAATATACCGGCTAACTGTCCACGGGGTGAAAGCTACATTGGAGAAACCTATAGGAAACAGAAAAACTGGGTCAAAGAACACATAGCTTGTCATAACAGGGAAAATAAGAAAGGATCTGTTGTGGCTGAACCATACAATACTGAACTTACAACTTCACAATGCTCTTGCCGCTTTGCTTCCAAATCGTTCAAAGGCACGTCAGGAAAAAGCCACCCCCTATACAAAAAAAAACGGAGTTCGTCATCCAAAAAAATGAGAGCGAAACTACTCCTAGGTCGACTCTTTCAACAGGTTGCTTGCCACGTTGAGATGCTAGGTCGCTGTGAATTTTGCTCAGGGCTTAAGAGTAATTTGCTTTATCCCTGAATCCCAAACAAACCATTTAAATAATGCAGTGGAAAGATTTATAAAAAAGGCAAATATTATTAGCTCTAACGTGTCCGAAGATTGAGCATTCTGTTCAATCGTTGATAATGGATCATACATGAAACTGAAAAATGTACCAAACCGGTGGTTTTTAAGGAGTGATGTTTTGGTCGATTCCCATAGTTGATTCCGTGGTCCGCAGCTGCTGTAACATCTGGAGATATTTGGTTTCAGCGCCCTGAAGAAGACCTGGCGGAGACAAGTCAAACTGTCGGTACTGGTTAATAGCCCGATTAACCAAATATGTTCGCTAGTGTTTTATTCAAATATAAAGAAATTCTTTTATGCATTGGTGGTTACC